TATTTTTCTCAGCCTATTCAATTTTTATAGTTCTGAAAATGAAATCTACTCAGAACTCAATAAGGTCTTGATTTATTAGGATATTTTCCTGGCTTTGTGTGCACGTGTTTGTGAATTAAGTGAAAAATAGAAAGAATAATGTCTTTTATAATAAACTTTTCTGCTTGTGTAATCTTAGAAATTTCTTTTCTTCTCTTGGTTTGCACAAGCACTAATAAGTCGCACGAATATAATAAGAAGAGAGATGTTTGATGAAAATCAGGAAGTTACATTAGTAGTCAAGCACATGGGCTCTGGAGCTAAACTGGATTTGAAGGTTCCTAGCATGTCACCTTGGGCATGTGATAAAAACTCTGTCCTTCACTTTTCTCATATGTAAATAAGGATCACACTAGTAATAATATCTCACAGTGGTGTGGGAATTAAATAAGTTCATACATGCAAAGGGCTTAAAATAGTGCCTGGCACATGGTAAGCATCTAATAATTCCTAATTTCCATTATTAGAATGTGTGCCTTTGGTCAGTGGGCTCTGTGAAGTAGCATAGCACAGTGGAAAGGACCTCAGCTCCTGGTTAAGCTACTAGCCATGTCCCTCAGGTCCACTACTCAAGAGGCCTGTGACCTGGAGAGTGCACTTAACTTATTTGAAGTCACTCTTTGCATGTATGAAATGAGTATGGTAAGACCATATTGAAAGTGTCATTATGAAAGCTAAATGACAATACATACGAATGGCATGGTGCTGGCTCATACTAGGTGGTCAATAAATAATAACTATCACAACTGGTTTGTGAAATAAGCATGGGCTCTGGACCCAGATATTCTGAAACTTCAGGAAACCTGATTTCTCTGCTCTTGAATCTCCTCATATGTGAAGTTAGAACACTAATGCCTTTTGAAGTCCAGAGCTAGTGATGAAAAATGTCTGCCTCATAATAGGGGCTCATTTTGTTTATCGTCATTTATTTCCGAGGTCAGCAAACCCCTAGCTGAGGACCACCTCCTGCCAGCCACCTGTTTTAGTATGAACTGAGAGCCAAGAATAGTTGTACATTTTGAAATGCTTGCGGGAAAAAAGAAGAGAAATATTTTGTTTCTCATGAAAATTACAGGAAATCCACGTTTCAGTGTCCATGAGTTATGTTTTGTTTGAACATCACCACAGTCATTTGTTTCTGTATTCTCTAGCAATCGTTACACAGCAATGGCAGATGAGAGTAGTTGTGGCAGACCAGAAGGCCTGCAAAGTTTAAAATATTTATTACCTGGCCCTTTATAAAAAAAAGTTTTGCTGATCTCTGTTCTACTCTAACCTTCTCTTCTATGTGAAGATTAAGGGGCAGAGAATTGAAGAACTTTTATTTATTTAAATATCCAGAGCTTAAAATCTAGTTTTTTGGCACTGGTAAACCCAGCCAAACAACTGATACTTTATTATAAAATTTGAGATTTAGGAAAGTATATGAAAAAGGAATACTTACTATATTTCTCACCTGAGGCAATATGTCTGATTTCATAATTTGAATATTTAATTTAAAATTATCCAAAATGTTGTTATTTTACAGTATCCCTTTTGTGTCTGGAGTTATATATATAACAATACTATTTCCACATTATCTTGTAGGAACTTTTGCTATAGCCAAAGAATTGCCAGAATTTTAAATAATTAACTGACTAGCAATTCTATACCAGTTTGTTACCTATGTGATATCTCTTATATCTATTACTTTTTTTATTTTTCCATTTCTTCATTTTGAAAGTAGCAAATGGCATGACCACTGTCCCCAGCCCACCTCTTCTCACCCACCATTCTCCACAACCCTCGCCCAGTACCCTGCCCCACTCCCTACCTCCTCCCCCCCAATCCCATACTGTCAAAGTAGAAGGAAACTGAGCAACGATTTAAGATGGTTTTGTTTCTTCTTTGCTTTTGGACATATTAATGCATTTAGAATGAAAGAAAATAAATATTTTTAGACTGACACTCTATAAATGAGACATGGGCTCTGTTGCTCCGGCAATTCTTGCCATGTGATGCCCTGGTCAACATGGGACCCTGTACAGCGCCCCAACCCAGATGAAGGCCCTCACCAGATGTACACCCTAGACCATGGACTTCCCAGCCTCCCAAACTGTAAGAAGTAAATTTTTTTTCTGTATAAAAATACATAGATAAATGAGACATGGAAATGCATCTGAGTTGCTTGATTTAGGTACTTTAGAAAATAAACCTGTGCTCCGAACAAGTCATGTATGTTCTTGAAAAGCAAGCGATGGATTTGCTGCAGTTCAGGGTCAATGTACAGGACTTACGCATTCCAGAGCCTGAAGAAAAATAGGGACCCAAGAACAGAGACTTATGATACCTCTCTAATTTAACTACTACATTATCTGTTTATTTCTATCAAAAACGTAAATATAAGAATTTAAATACTCAAATAACCTATTAAAAATAATTTTAAAATTACGTCATTAAAACCAGCCACCTTTTATCTATCAACTACATTAAATCATTTTGTTCTTATGGGGCTTTTAACAAACTGAATTAATCAGGTTTGGTACAGATCATACCTCGCCAGTGGGTTAAAGTTTCAAAGAAAAAGTTTTATTTATATTCAGAATTCTGCCAGAGGAAACAAGTTATTGTCAAAATTTCTGAAACTATTACCTATGAAAAGTATGTAAGTGATGTGCTGGAGGGACAAGTACTGGGTCAGTTTCATTATTAAATATCTGATTTTGCAAGCTGAATGTTAAATTCTTGGCAGATTGAAGTTGTCCATGATGGGAGTATTTATACCTGGAAATTAGGCAAATTCTAGAAAGCAGGGCTTCCTCCACCTCATTGCCGCACCCCAGGTGGTATTCCAGCTCATCACTGAGTATGTTTAAATAAACCATGCAACTGGGAGTTCTTTTGGGAGGAAGAATAAAAATGTTTTAAAACTGATTATGGTAATGGTTGTACCACTCTTTAAAGTTGCTAAGAATTATTGAATTGTACACTCAAAATGGATGAGTTTTATAATATGTGAAATATACTTCATTAAGGTTGTTAACCAAAATGTCCCCAAACCAACCAACAAAATGCTAACATTTATTAGTGGTTTTTAAGATTCAAGTACACACCCAACAGACTCAAAATGAAAAATAAAGCCACATTTACTCAACACTTTTGGTGAATATATATTCTATGCAGTGAATCCCCAACCTCAGTCTCATTGTGGAATCACTTGGAGAATTTTAAAAGAAAACCCTCTCCTCCAGAGATACTGACATCATTTGTCTGATATGCAAACCTGGACACCAGGAATTTTTAAAAACTTCTTGGTTTGTTCTAGTGCACAGTCAAGGTTGAGAATTAGGACGAAAGAGCAGTGTCCCCAGATATTTGCAGGGGTTCATTATTATGGAAATGATCCTCACATGTTTGAAAGATTTCCAGGCCTTCTGAAATAGAGATTTCTGGACATAGACGAATCTTTATGTGTGTGCATGACTCTGGGTTTTGTATTGAATGTCTATTCTTTGCACATGGAGGGAAGGCATAGTTCTATTTTCCCTGTGGGGTTTATCTGTGGTCACTTCCTGCTTTGGGGATCCTGGTTGTCTAATTGATCTTTGTCATATAAGTGTGTACCAACAGCACACAAGTAGAGTTTGGGTTCAAGTATTGTTTGCTAAATTAAAGGATCAGAATTGAATATCTCCTCTATCTCTCTTCTTCTCTGGGAGCCTTTTACCTCTTCTGTTTGGGGTTTCAATCCAAAAGGATAGAGACATCTTGGAATTCTGACTTCCTAATAAGGGGTGTTCCCTTGAATGAAAATTCTAGCTGTTATATCTGATTTGCCATATGAAGGTACAGTTCAATTCTGAGACCTCAATTTTAAAATGTAAAGAAGGGTACTATTGGGAACTTTTTACAGTAACACAACACAAAAAGACACAATCTGCAGACTTAACCCAAAGAGATTTTATCTCTATTTCTTTTTTTTTTTTTTTCTAGTTAAGGACAAGACTTTTGCAGGTTGGAATCCCAGCTTTGTCATTTGATTGATGTGTGGCTGATAAGTTATTCAAACTTGTTTTGTGCTCTTTTTTGTTCTTTATGAAATGGAGATGACAACAGTTTCAATGTCATTAAGTTGTTGTGAAGATTTAGAGATATTTATCCAGGCAGAGGTACAGGTTTGCCCTCCTGAAGCAGAGGTGTCAAAATCAGCCTCATCAGGATATTCCCAGTGCTTTAGATGTAAGGTTAAGTTTCTCAAAGAAATCCCGTATTCCTCTCTTGTGTAATGTGTGCTTCTTTTATTAAATACCCTGATGAGTCATCTCATTTAGGTCCCTTCTTAAAGACAGGGCTTTGATGACTCCATGTACCTAAACTTACCTGTTTGAGTCAGAAATTTTATATTCTCCCTGAATTGGTATTTAAAAGGCTCAAAGTTGCTCCTACAGACATGCATACATACTACAGCTCACAAATACAGTGTCAGAAGGAAACCCATAAGTGAGATTTCTACAGAAACTTCCTCATTCTCTCTGTTTTGAAAAAGTCCCTTTCACATGCAGTAGGGTGTGCTTTTCTGTTTATCTTACCAGCAACACAGTCTTCTTACTGTCCATAACTCAAAACTCTTTAACAGCACATTTATGCATAAACCAGAGCAATATCAAAGAAACCAAGCAAAAGCAGCTCATACAACCCAATTCTATCCCTATTCTCAAAGAATATCCAACATTTAATTTTTGTCCTATTTTCTCCACCTACCTGTTTTCACATCTGGAAAAGTAAGATAGGCTTTTACAATGGAATTAGTCCCAAACAGAAAGATACGTAACAGACACAAATGAATAAAGTGGGAAGGATAGAATATGGGGCGGCAGAGAAAAACGAATGCTGAAGATAATCATTAATCAAAGAGTGCATTCGGGTGGGAGTGGGCAGTTAACATCTGCCCAGAAGCACTTTGAAGAGATCTGCTCTCTTACCCCAAGTCCTGCAGCAGCTCAGCGTCTCCATCCGATCTGCTCCACAGATCTGAGAGGTCCCGGGTGCTCATCTTTCTTTCTAGGATTTCTCCTCTGCCCATTCGCGTCCTTCACATCCACTCAACCCCTGCCAGGTACTGTGGGAAAGAGGCAGAGACAGAGAGAGAGACAGATTCAGCAGCTCCTCACGCTTTCTCCTCAGTGAGAGGAGCGGTTGTGGCTGCAAGTCTCCAACCAGCAAGGAAATGAAACTTGGTGACTCCTCCCACTGACACTCACCGCCCTGGCCCTGAGGCACTGGCAGGAGGGTTCCGTCAGTCAGGAAGTATGCAAACGCAGGTAGCTACCCCTGAGGACACCCACACTGCATCACGCAACAGGCGGTTTCTGTCAAAGGAAATAAAGAGGAGACCACCCACTTGGGGTTGGACTATTAGTTTCAACTCTTTGTATGAGGTCAAGCCATAGCTCCTCCCCAATGCCATCAGCCTCTGGTGTGCAGAGAAGGGTGCAGGCACTCACTCACCTCTTTTCTTTTTGTCTGACACACAAACATATGGAACACCAAGGAAGCTTCTATGTCAAGAACCACCTTTACAGTGGGTAATGAAATCAAACAACCGGTTAGACCCAGAAGGTTTTTTTCAGCACATTCCCAATATTTCTACTTAATTACCCAAGCTTTCCAACATACCCTTGATGCTCAGGTTGGGGATGATTCAGAGACAATTATTGTTTTCTCCATGGAAGAAGGATTAGGTGAGAAAAAGGTAGGAAGAAGTTGTAGGGGGCCATCCTGGTGCCCAACTAATGGGGAACATTAGGACTCCTGCAGTCTTCAAGCTTCACTTCCTTCACTGGGCCTACTTACACCCTATATGGCTTTGAGTCCAGATTCACGCGCAGAGAAGAGATTCTGCCTGGAATCCTAAAGGGAAAGTTCAGTGACTCTGAATCCTTGAGAAGTGGAATAAGGTGCAGTGATAAATGAATAAAGAACATGGGAAGAACATGCTTGTGCTTCTCTCTCTCTCTTTCTCTCTCTCTCTCATCACTCCCTGACTCACTCAGGGTTCAGCACTGTACTCTTCCTCTTGCGTCTCCCAGTGTGGGATGAGGACTAGCAGCAAGCAGAGCTGTTCTTAAAGGCCTTAGATTGTTGCAGGAGGCCACTCTCTGCCTAGCTTTATCCTGTCTTTAAGATTCTTCCCCATTACCTCCATTCACCAAGTGATTTGTGAGTAACCCTGGTTACTCTGGTTGCCAGTGAGAAATTCCTAAGTGTCTAGAGACAGCCTGGGAGAGACCAAGCTCTGACAACACACACGCAACTGATTTACATGAACATTTAACATCTTTTTGGCTACAGTTTGTTCAGAGAGGAACACAGGGTTCACTTGAACAGAACAGAGAGGCCAGTCAAGGCCAGGGAGGTGCAAAATGTACAGACCGTAGAGAGAGGAGAACAGCCTGTGCACGAGATTTCCTGTTCCCTTTCTTTAGCCCTATGTCAAGTGTTTTAGTATCTATATCACTCCCATTTTAGCAAATTCCATTTTTCCCCTCAACATCCTTTTCCCCCCAGGAAAGTGGCAGAATTTACCAAGTTCACCCCCTCTTTCCTTTTTCAATGTTCTTGCCCTTCTCCCTTTCTCATTTTGCTGTCCCATCTCTTGCCCTCTCCTTTGGTGTTATTCTTCCATTTTGTCACTTATTCCATTTTTCCCAGGATCCCTCCCTCCCTCACCACCCCTTTTTCTACTAACTGCACATTCAGTATTACAGTGGAACCTTGATGGCTTCAACAAAATGCCAAACATTTGTAAAAATATTTGATTATATGTTTTACATTAGATTGTTCAGATGATACAATTTTTAATTAAAAGGAGCTCAATTTTTACTTCCAAATACCTTCTAAATGAGTGCAAGGTATATTTTTTAAAATCACATAACTCACTTCTTATTTATTTCAATAATCTCTTTTCAGTAGTGCGGATTCACAGCACTGAATGTTTTCAACACTGGTACTTGACATAGAAATGGACACAAACAATAGAGTTAATTTTAATAGTTTTGTAGAATTTTCTCTTTTGCTGAAAATAAATTTTACTTATCAAGAAGTGTTTGGCCTTTATTGAAATCATCATCACATTCAGATCATAATTTTCTCATAAAGAGAACCTAGGGAGAACTATTTTGTCCATATTTGAAATTTTTCTTTAGAAGAAAGGGCTTTTAATACTCGGTACCCCCCTAATGAGAACCTTTTAAAATAAACTACTCCATACATTTTAAGACTCTTTTTGATCTTTTTCTAATTTATTTACCTTTACAGAGAGCCCAAATATCATAATGTCTGCCTTTTCACTGGTCACCCAGCAATGGCAGTCCTACTCAAGCTCTCAGCAGAAGGAATTTTCCTCTGAGTTCCTATGGTTAACTGCTATTATCTAAGCATGATCTCTTTTTCTCCATCATTTCTGTTAGTAGCATTTCCTAGGATACATTCTTGAAAGGGAAACTATATTAGTTCATTCTGTGTTGCTTATAACAAAATACGTGGAACTGGGTAATTATAAAGAAAAACAAGGGCCGGCCCGGTGGCGCACTGGATAGTGCGCCGCTTGGGAAGCGCGGCGGCGCTCCCGCCCGAGGGTTCGGATCCCACATACAGACCGGTTCCCGCTCACTGGCTGAGCGAGGCGCGGGAGCAACACCGAGGGTTGCGATCCCGTTGCCGGTCCCCGGTCCGGTACGGGGGCAACACTGAGGGTTGCGATCCGTTGCCGGACACGGAAAAAGACAAAAGACAAAAAAAAGAAAAAAGAAAAAGAAAAACAACATTTACTGCTTACAGTTTCTGAGGCTGGGAATTCCAAAGTCCATCTGGTGGTGGTGACAGTGGCCCAGAGGTCTCACATTGCAAGATAGTGGAAGCAGAGAGAGCAGAGAGAGAAAGACAGACTCTCCTCTTCTTTTAAAGCCCTCAGAACCACACCCCTGACCGCCATTTTTAATCCATTCACTATGGCATGGTCCTACAGTCCAATCACTTCTTCAAGGCTCCACCTTTCAATAACAATAATAGGACTTCCCACCCTCTTAACAGTCACAGTGGGGGCCAAGTTTCTAATCCATAAAACTTGGGGAACACAACTCAAGCTTCAATGAGTTTTGGGGGGACATAATTTAATCCAATACAGAAACCTAGGCTTGGGGTTACCATGGATTAAGATTACCATAATGCACACCATTGCCTGAAAAAGAATTCCAAATAATAATCTTAAGGAAACTCAACAAGATGTAAGAAAATACAGATAAATGACACAACAAAATGAGAAAAACAATTCAGGATCTGAAGGAGAAATTCAAAGAGATAGATACCATACAAAACAAACAAACAAACAAACAAATCTTGGAACTGAGGAATTAATTAAATGAAATTTAAAAAATACAACTTAGTGCTTAAGCAACAGGCTAGATCAAGCAGAAGTAGGAATTTCTGAACATAAAGACAGGTTTTCGAAACAACTTGGACAGAAAATAAATAAATAAAAGTAAAAAAGAATGAAGAAAGCCTATGACATCTATGGACAATTTTATGCATACAAATATCATGTTGTGGGTGTTCCAGAAGGGAAAGAGAATGGAAAAGTCACTGAAAACCTATTAAACAAAATAATAGCTTTAAACTCCTCAAGTATTGGGAGAGATATGGGCTTTTAGCTGCAAGAGGATCAAAGATCCCCAAACAGATTTAACTCTAAAATCTCATCTCTGAGACACATTGTAGTCAAATTGTCAAAAGTCAAAACAAAGAGGAAATTTTGAAAACAGCAAGAGAAAAGCATCAAGTCACCTGCAAGGGAATCCCTATCAGATGAACAGCAGATTTCTCAGCAGAAATCATATAGGCCAGGAGAGAGTGAGATAATATTCAAGGTGCTGAAAGAAAAAAACCTGCCACCCAAGAATACTATACACAGCAAAGCTATGCTTCAGAATGAAGGAGAAACAGAGTCTTTCCCAGACAAACAAAAACTGTGGGAATTCACTGCCATGAGACTGGCTCATTAAGGATTAAGAAATCCTTAACGGAGTCCTACATCTGGAAGCAAAAGAATGATAACTACCATCATGATAACATTTGAAAGAATGAAACTTACTGGTAGAGCAGATACACAAATGAGAAAGAACACACACACACACACACACACACACACACCCCAAAACAGCAAAGACAAAAAATTAAAGAGAAAGAAAGGAACAAAAAAGATATATAAAACAACCCTAAAAATTAATAAAATGGAAGGAGTAAGGCAATACTTTTCAATAACAACTTTGTAAATAGATTAAATTCCCTATTTAAAAGACATAGACTGGCTTAATGGATTACAAAAAAAGACCCAACTATATGCTGCCTACAAGAAACTTACTTCATCTGTAAAGACACACATAAACTAATAATAAAGGGATGGAAAAATATATTCCATACAAATGGGAACCCAAAATGAGAAAGAGTAGCTATATTTATATCAGATAAAATAGACTTTAAACCAAAAACTATAAAAAGAGACAAGGACATTAGATAATGATAAAGGGATCAATTCAGCTAGAGGACATAACAATTGGTAATATATATGCACTTGACATCAGAGGACCCAGATAAAAAAGCAAATATTATTGGATCTGAAGAAAGAAGTAAACCCCAATACAATAATAGGGACTTTAACAGCATTCTCTCAGCATTGGAGAGATCATCTAGACAAAAAAATCAACAAAGAAATATTGGATTTAAACTGCACCATAGACCAAATGGACTTGATAGATATTTACAGAACATCTCATCCAGCAACTGCAGAATATATCTTTTTCTCATCACATGTAGATCATTCGCCAGGATAGACTACATGTTAGGCCACAAATCAAGTCTCAAAAAATTTAAAATAATTGAAATCAAATCAAGTATCTTTTCAGACCAAAACAAAATAAAACTAAAAGTCAATAACAAATGAAACTTTAGACACTGTACAAACACATGGAAATTAAACAACATGCTCTTGAAAGACCAATGGGCCAAAAAAGAAATTAAGCAGGAAATAAAAATTAATTATTGAAACAAATGAAAATGGAAGCACATCATACCAAAACCTATGGGATACTGTAAAAGCACTACTAACCAACTGAGGTGTTATAAGTCTGTGCTCTAACCAACTGCAAAAGTAGTACTAAGAGAGAAGTTTATTACAATAAGTGCTAGCATAAAAAAGTAAAAAGATTTCAAATAAACAAATTAAATATTGTGTCTCAAGGAACTAGAAAAGCAAGAACAATTTAATCCCAAAATTTGTAGATGAAGATAAATAATAAAGATCAGAGCACAACTAGGTGAAATATGGACCAAAAAGAAAATAATAGTAATAACAAAGATTGATGAAACAAAAGTTGGCTTTTTGAAAAGATAAACAAAATTGACAAACCATTAGCTAGACTAAGAAAAAAAGAGGAGACCTATATAATGAAAATCAGAAATGAAAAAGGAGACACTACAAATGATATCACAGAAATACAAAAAATTATTAGAGACTATTATGAACAACTATACACCAACAAATTTGAGTTGAGAATCTGGAGGAAATGGAAAATTTCTGGACACATGCAACCTACCAAGACTGAAGCAAGAAGAAATAGAAACCTGAACAGACAAATAACAAGTAATGAGATTGACTCAGTAATCAGCAGTATCCCAACAAAGAAAATCCCAGGAAA